TCCCGTGGGGTAGGGTTCCGGTCGGCCTGGAATGTCGCTGCTTCCCACGCGGTGAGGAGGTCGACCGCCGCCCTCGCGCCTGTGGCTTGCGCTCTTCCCGGGGTATCTAGACGCTGTCGCCTGGCGGCTGGTGAACGTGCCGTCGGCGATCCCAGCAGCTGGACGGACGGCATGCGCAGGGGTGACCCTCCCCCTAGGCCGCGAGGCACTCCCAGGGGTTCGGCTTGGCGGGAATTTCCCGAATCCGGTCCCTGGGTGGCTGCTTGTTGGTCCGGCGGTAGGAGTTGTGGTGCGCGCATGTCAGTTTCCTGTAGGGACGGAAGATGGTGGAGGTGCCGCGGGTTTGGTCTAGGTCTCCGCCTTGCCTCGCTATTGATAATATCTCGTGATGCCGAGTCTAGGTCGCCGGATATCTTGGCGCAAATCGTGTAAGGATTCCGCCGGACATTGTCTGGTCTGCCTCTGACTCGCTATGATGAGGTCTCTGGCTCGCTGGGGTGTCGGCTTCCGGTCACTAACATGGTCAGCGCCTGGCTCGCTGGGAAGTGATGCTGCCAACTTGCTGGAGGGAACGATTTGCCCCAAGCTCTCTAGGAGGGTCTGTCTCCGATACGCTAGGGGTCAGCCCCACTCGCTAAGGGGGGGGTCAGCCTCCCATTCGTTAGGGGGTCAGCCCCAAATCGCTGTGAGGATAAGCCCCGGTTCGCTAGGGGATCAGCCCCAGCTCGCTGGGAGGATCAGCCTCCGATTCGCTAGGGGGTCAGCCCCAAATCACTAGGAGGGTCAGCCTCCAATTCGCTCGGGGATCAGCCCCAAATCGCCAGGAGGATCCGCCTCCAATTCGCTAGGGGGTCAGCCCCAAATCACTAGGAGGATCAGCCTCCAATTCGCTAGGGGATCAGCCCCAAATCGCCAGGAGGATCCGCCTCCAATTCGCTAGGGGGTAGCCCCAACTCGCTAGGAGGAATCAGCCTCCGTTTCGCTAGGGGGTCAGCGCCAACTCGCTAGGAGGATCAGCCTCCAATTCGCTATGGGGTCGGCCCCGAATCGCTAGGAGGATCGGCCTCCAATTCGCTAGAAGATCGGCTCCAACTCTCTAGGAGGATCGGCCCACAATTCGCTATGGGTCAGCCCTAATTCGCCAAGTGGTCAGCCACAAATCGTTGGGGGGTCCGCCTTCAAGGGGATCAGCCCCACTCGTTAGGGGACATCTGCTTCTACCCGTTAAGGGATCCGCCCTTGCTCGCTAGGAGGGTCAGTCTCCCCTTCGCTATGGAATCGGCCCCAACCCTCTAAGGGTGTCGACTTCTAACTCTCTAGGTGAAACCTGCCGCCGTCGCTAAGGGAGGGGTGACCTCAAACGCTAGGTGGCAGCAGCTCCCGAAGGAAACGCGAAGGGGGTCGACTTTCGTCACGCATAAGAGTACCGCCAAAGGTTACTCCCTAATCCCTAAGGTGGTCAAGTGGAGCGTTACTGCGTGTCTCGGTTTCGCGTCGCTGAGAGAAATTCGGCCGCCGCGTCGCTAGGGTTGGGGGTCGTGGGGGTTCGGTCTCTGCCTCTACGCGCGACATATTATGTCCAAATTCGTCGAGCAGAGTGCGTTTATCTTCGCTGCCGGTGTACTTCCTCGCCAAACGGAAACGTAATCCTTCTCGCGTTGCCGAGTTCGCATTGCGTCGCGTTTTGGGATCCGAGTGCACGGGTGCGCGCTGCCGTGATCTTTACCCCCTGGTCTCTCGCTCTAACCACTCACCGGTCTGTCTGGGGGATTCATCTCCTCCCCGTCGCGTTCAATCACGCGCCTCGCCGGTGCCGACTACAAGCAAGTCAAACAACAAGGTCGGAAAGTCAGATGCGATGGACTTGGTCCGGCTCTGAGACGGGATGCTCTGCCTTCGCTTCATTGCAATGAACCATTCACAAGGATGACTTGTCGCTCTTCTAGGTGTGTCTAACTGGTCCGTCGGTCGCTGCTTGTTATGATGGGTCGGTCGACCCAGTATGCTTGCATGCTTTCCTTATCAGCCATTGCTCAAAACTAGCACGAATTAAGATG